ATCGTGTGAGACAAAATGTGCTAGATCTCGCTGAAGGCACGAAAGGGGTTAAAAATACAAGTGCAAAAATAAGTAACAATTGAGAACCTTCATTGCCATTAAATGTAGTTCAAATAATAAAAGGGATTAATAGCATAATATCCCTATGAAAATGTTTCATTTTGCGATGTACCTCGTACCTATTAGAAATCGCAGAAAACCTCTATTTCAAACGTTTTGTGCGAAAAACACCCCTTCCGTCAGTATCCATTTGGTGTTTCATTAAATCTCAAGGAAGAAGGAGGGAAATTGAAAAATAACAAAGGACAAATGCGTCAATTTATGTTTTCGTCTTTAATAACATCATCCCAACATGAAGATGGGGGCTTTGTGCAAGATGAAGCGACACGAAGGTTGAGAGGATTCTAGTTGCTCCCATGTTGTACGGTCAGTTCCTTGTTTACCCATGATCATAGAGGGTTCCTCGAGATGTTCTGAAGTCTGAACAACTATCATTCTTCAGCGAAGGTGCAAAGTAAGTTGTGGAAGCGGGTTTTTATTTTTTAAAAAAATGCGTGCGTGAAATTTGTGAAATAGTTGAATATGGTATTCAGATTAGTTGTTGTTGGTTTTTTTTTTTTATTTACAGTTTGAATGTGATTATCAGAAATGGAGGCTCCAAGACTCTAAGGGTTTGAAGAAGTGCCCGTGTATTGTAAGTTGCTCCGTTTTTGCGATTGAAGAAATAAAGGGTTTTTTTTTTCACACTGTTTATGTGTTTTGTTGGAATTTCGTTGTAAAAAGTGTGTGCGTGATGTTTGTTGTGGGTCTTCAACTGATTTCTGTACTAACCGTTGTTCACATTATCATCCATCCGGATACACAAACCACTTCACAATTGTTATATGCACTGGTGGTGTCTTCTTTGATAAGCCAAATAATGTCAAGTGTAAGCATGGTACAGTGATGTTTGACTTTGTGAGGGTTGAATACTTCAATAGGGAATGGTTCCAAGCTCTTGAGCACATTTGTGGTGACTGTGAACCTTTAGAATTTTATATCAGGATGCAGAAAGGTGAATTTGGTATTGCTTTGAGGAGATCACACAGTGAATCTAATGTGAGGGAGATGTTGGAGGACCTTAAAAGACATAGGCTGCTTGAGATTTATGTAGTTGTGCCTAGCTAGACAGAAGCTTAGCGTAAGAACCATACTAAGAACTAGTGTTTGAGGTCACAGAGAGTAGTGCCCGTAATAGAAGGGGTGAAAGTACCACAGAAGGTTGCTACAACCCAGTGTTTGATGTGGATGAAGATGGTTTTGGTGATGTGAACATTGGCGACGTTGCACCGGAAAATGTAGAGGAGGTGGGTCGTAATTTGAGGAAACACTTACCTACAAAGCCGGAGTTAGAAACTTCTCAGTAGGTTCAGCATGAAGAGAACTCGGAGATAGTTGAGGAGGTCCCGAACGATAGAGTAGGAAATGACACTGAAGGCTTTGTGGAAAGTGATTACGAGGTTGAGGATGAACTTGAGGAGGTGACAAGGTTGAGGAACAAGTTCATTTTGGTTCTGAATTTAGTTTTGGAATGTTCGATGAGCAAGAAGTTAGAGACTTGAACACTGACTACGGGGAGTTAAGATGAGTTTTGTAGTTTGGATAGCGAAGAAGATGAAGGAACAACATCCAGACAGAGAGGACGAACAGATGAATTCAATCTGTTAACTGACATGAAGCAACCAAATTTTCAAAAAGGTTGTCAAAAACCCATCTTATATTCTAATAAGTTGTCGATAATACCCCTTATTTATTCAATACATTTTGATATACCCCCTATATAAAATTATTATGTTGTAAAACCCCGCTTTAAGAAATATTTCTGGCATTTTACGACCTTCACTTTTTTATTTTGTGTGTTACAAGTATGGTGTTTGAGAGACGAAAGCAGTTTTGAAATGGGCATTAATTGAGCATTTCGTAACATCAAACCAGGAGATAAATACATCAAGGATGAAGGGTATAGATTGCTAGCAGTATGCAAGGAGAAGTCATGTGGATGGCTGTTGTAAGCAAGCAAGGTGAAATATTCAAACAGTTTTGTAGTGAAGACTTACAATGGTGATCACATTGTGCACTGGTATACCGAAACATGAGGCTAACTCTGAAGTACTTAGCCCATAAGTCTTGTCTTCGTGGAAGGCTAATCCTAATATGTCTGTGAGTGCATTTTTTTGATAAAGTTAAAAGGGACAATTTGGAGACGTGACTAGGTGGCAGTATTACCGAACTAAAGAGTTGGCAATACAGACATTACGTAGCACCGTGGTTGACCACTTCAAAATTTTGTGGATTATTGTGGGCATCTGAAACATACAAATGTTGGTACAATTACACGGTTGGAGGGTCTTGGTTGGGAGTTTAAAAGATTGTACATATGTCTGAGAGCACTGAAGATGGGATTCATGAGTGGATGCAGGAAGGTGATAGGGTTGGACGGCTGTTTTTTGAAAACCGACCTAGGGGCCAGTTATTGAGAACAGTAGGTGTGGATGGTAATAATGGGGTTTATCCCATAGCATATGTCGTAGTGGAGGTTGAGAATAGTGAAAATTGGAGGTGGTATTTGGAGTTTTTGAGAGATGATTTGGGCATAGTGAACAGTTACAATTGGGTTTTCATGCCTGATAAGCAGAAAGGGCTTGTACAAGCTCTTGAACAAATATTTGAATATGCCGAACATCGTACTTGGGTGCGACATCTTTACAACAACTTTAGTGCAACATACAAAGGTCTCGCATAGAAAAATTTACTCTTGGCAGCATTAAAGCTACAATTGAAGTTGCATGGGTGATACAGATGAATAGGATGTACGATCTGGAACTTGCTGCATACAATTGGTTGCAGTTGAAGCCGGTAGCGCATTGGAGTAAATCATATTTCAAAGTGGGGGAATAATTGTGATATGCTACTGAACAATTTATCAGAGTCCTTCAACGCGATCATCTTGAATACATAGGAGAAGCCTATCTTATCAATGTTAGAGGAGATTCGAATGTACTTGATGGGACGAATCGTGGCAAGGATGGAGGAGTGCAACAAGTGGAGAGGAATCATGGGACCAAGAATAATGAAAATCATTCAAAAAATACAAATCTATCGCGGTCTGAATATGCTGACTATTTGGGGAACCAAAAATTCCACATACGACACCCTGAAATTCAAACTTTGTATGTAGTCGACCTAATTGCTAGGACTTGTTCGGGTATACCATGCAGCCATGTCATTGCGGCACTATTATCACGAGGCATGCAGAATGTCACAGATTATGTGAATGATGTGTATAAGAAAGAAGTGTACGTTCGGACGTATACACCGACAATATCCCCAGTGACAAGCCCAGATACATGGCCGAACGTCGAGCTCAATCCCTTGACATCGCCTGTATACACTAAGAAGGTTGGGAGACCAAAAAAGAGTAGGCGAAAGGAGGTAAGTGAAACGTCCACACCGTCCAACACAGTGGCATCCTCTGATGTACCTCCATCTAAGAAAAGGAATGGTGATGAGGTGTTCTTTGTGTGGTGCTTCTAGGTACAACAGGAGGAAGTGCAGAGGAAGGAAACCACGAGCTGCAAATTGAAATGCTTTTTTTTTTTTTTTGTCTTGGTTTTTGGTTGTAATGTTTTTTGTTCGTATTTCATATAAATGTGAACAAATCTTATTATTAAATAGTAATATTTGGGGTGTCGATGTACAGCCTTTGGTGTGGATGCCCTGCTTTTGGTATGCGTAATATTGAATTGGGATTGGGGATTATGGGGTTATGCTTCGGAACCTTTATCAATCCAGGGTTGATTTTGTACAAAACCCATAGAAGACAAGGTTTAGATGTCTCGGGTTTAGAATACTATAGGGTTGTATTATGAAACATATTCAATATGTAAGGGGTTTCACGACCAATTCAGAGAATGAGACTTGTACAGTCATTACCAATGAACAACCAAACAATAAGAGATGAAATAGAGGATGAAATTGGAAAATCACATTGAACATCTAACTTACAGAACTTGAACACGAAAGCACAACATTCACTAATATCCATTCAGTACACACATCTATAAGGCGATCGAAACTTTTTTTTCGCCCAAAACCCACATCACTACACACCCATACAAAAACCCAAAAAACCTAAAACCTAAATCTAAAATCAGTGCTCCCCCTCTACAGTTCTAACAACTCTTGTTCGAGTGCATTCCAGAATCTCAATAGCCCAAGTATGATCTCCATAGATCTACTACACATAGGTTGGTCAAACCACGAGAAGTACCCACAACCTCCATTTTGCTGTAGAAAATTGAAAAAATATCAGAACTTGAGCATACTCAGTAAAAAATCAATTCAAAAATTGTGTTCGGGTTTCCATTATCAACCGTCGTGTGCATGTGAAGAACTTTCTTTCCGAGTTCGCTGCTGTCCACGAAGTTTGCAGCTCAATCTCCATTCCGCATCTGTACAATCGGGATTCCATCGGAGCTAAGTGTCCAGTGTTGCAGCTATGTAAGCAAGAAACGAATTGGTGTCAGGAAATGCAACGTGGGACATAAAAAACTCCCCTCTTCATGCTGGGATGGTGTTATTAAAGACGAAACTATAAATTGACGCATTTGTCCTTTTTTATTTTTCCATTTTCCTTCCTTTTCCCTGAGATTTAACCACATACCAAACTGATGCTGACGCTATGGGTGTTTTTCGCACAAACATTTAAACTAGAAGAGTTTTCTGGGATTTTCAATAGATGTGGGGTATATCTCAAAATGGAATGTTTTCAGGAGGTATTCTAATGTTAATCCATAACAAAAGTTGTGG